CCCACCCCACCCCACCCCACCCCACCCTGCACTTAGCAGCGTGTGACTACAAACTTCTCTCTCTGCTGGTAAAAAATAATTTACATCCAATAATAAAGCCTCCACTAAGTAAAAGACCTTCTCCTTCAACTATTTCTTATTAAGTGAAACATACCAACACCTTTTTAAGAACATCTCACTTCAAATGGAAATAGACAATTGAGATTAAAAGCTCCAAGCCGACATGTAACTGGGTGCAGAATTTTTTTAAGTGTCGTACTTACCATAGACCGCCCTTTGACCTGTAAAACAATACATGTTGTAAACATTAAGACATCCCAAGGAACTTGCTTGTAACAACCCACAAGCTACATGTCCATGCACAAAGATTGAACAATGTGTACTTAGAGTAAGTCTCTGTTAATAATATTAAGTAAATCTCTACAGTCACGTATTTCATAATAAAATTATTAAATGTGAACTTCCTTGTAAAGATCTGATAAATAAGAGATATCAACAGTCTAAGTATCAAAACAAATGTTTGTGAGACTCGACAATCTAGAGCAAAAAGAAATTTAGTAACTTAAGAATAAAAAAGAAACAAAAACAACCATTCAGAGGACTCTGAGAAGTACTAGGGTTGCACAAACTTCATACTGTCAGAGAAATCTGTTTATAATTCAGACTATGTTTTGTATTGGGGTTAAAACTTTTAATTACAATTTTCTTGAGAAGAGAAATTAGAACTGAACAAGTAACGAGATATGTGACAGACAGACAGACAGACAGACAGACAAACGGACAGACAACCTTTATTTAAGCACCATTAAAATTAAAGCTCAGTAGCTTGTGGAGTCATGCAAAAAAACAACAAATACATGTATGTCTCAATGTCTGTACATCGTGACCAATGAGAATATACAGTGTAGATTAGGAAGCAAAACTGCATGTGCGAGTCATCAACTTACCTGAAGTTGGTTCTCCATAGCAGTAACTTGCGACAACAGCTTCCACATCCTGATAAGAAATTCCTGCATCATTCAGAGCAGCTGTCCCTGCCTCTCGAGCCATATCTGTGAGCAAAATCAATTTGGAATACATTGATAGCCTGATCTACAAGTCCCACTGAAGCATCTTCAAGCAACGGCCACAGATTGGACATGACAAATAAAATGTAACAGAAAATTATGCCTGAAAAGTATGCAAGTGTGTGCAATTGGTAAACCAGATGGTTCCTGCATGCTGTGTACTTTGACTCACCAAAAGTTGGCAGGTGTGTGATTTTTTAAACTATATGCAAAGAATGCATAAATGGCTGGACTGCATGCATTTGGTGTTTGTGTTATAATTGTAATTATAGCTAGTCATGTACTGTAAGTGTTACAGTCGAACCTCAATTATCCGGACTCGTTTGGACTAGAAGAAATAGTCTGGATAATTGAAGGTCCGGATAATCGAAAATACAAATATTAATGAAGAACAAAACTGTTTAAATAAAGCAACATTTAATCATGAAACAACACTTTTACAAATCGTTTGGAAAACAATATGGTCTACCGTACAGCTTAAACCACTCAACTCTGAGCCAACAAGAACTCATTCGAGTGTTCCTCATTAGTTACAATGTGTGCGAGCGTTGCTTTTGCTCTTTAAAAGCAAAACAAACTCGCTTTTGACTGCACTTTTCAATGCTATAGTTTTAAAAAGAATATTGCTATGGATTTTGATCATGACTAATAAATATTCACGACAAAATTGGGACCAGGAAAAAAGTCTGGATAATCAAGAAATCCAGATAATCAAGGTACGGATAATCAAGGGTCAACTGTATATGGAAATTTCATTTTACTATTTTATGTCTCCAGATTGCTTTTATTATTATTAAGTAAAGATATAATTTGTATAAGCCTAAATGAATACTATACACACCTGGATAGTCCCATTTCTTGGTGAGAGGCTTTTCAAACCTTAGAAAAATTATCATTAGATAATATAATTAATAATAAAAGCAATAATCATCTTCTTACAGTACCATGATTATTATAACTAAGGGGCCATAATGTAAAGTAAAGTCTGCGTACACGTGTACGAACCAAGCGGCCCACCAGGGTGGAGCTTATCCCGATTTCTGTGGCATGAAGCAACTAGGAGCATTTCTGCTCCCCTCTAGATGGGATGCTGTGGGAGGCGCGGTGGTCTCATGGTTAGTGCGCTCGTCTCCGGATCTAGCTGTCCGGGTTTGAGCCCTGGCCGGGGACATTTTGTTGTGTTCTTGGGCAAGACACTTTACTCTCACAGTGCCTCTCTCCACCCAGTTGTATAAATGGGTACCGGCGAACT